CCACCACGACGACCACCAGCAGAAGCAACACCGCACCCACCACGACGACACCCTGCACCGCCATCACCACGACCGCGGCCAGCACCGCCACGACGACGGCGACCAGCAGCCAAACGACGACGACCAGCAGCACCACCGGCACTGCGACGACAAGCAGCACCGCCAGCAGCACCACCACCACGACGACGACGACGCCCAGCACCACTGCAACCACCAAGACCGCGACCAGCACCACCACGGCTACGGCTGCGACCAGCTGCGCCTCAGCGAGCACCGCGAGCAAAGCAGCCTGGCCCCCCCGCGCTGCCCTCGTAGGGCCGGTCCCGCTGGACCGACATCGCGCGCTCGTCTCGTCTCGTTTCGGGCAGGCGCCGGAGGGTGGGCGGAACTTCGCGGGCTATTCGCCCCGCGAAGCGCCGGGCAAGGCGAGGCAGCAACAGCGGCAGCAGCAGTGCCGGAAGCGACCGAACGATCGCCAGCGCCACCGGACGAGGCCAGCACCTGCGTCGCGCGCCAGGAAGATATCCCGCAAGAGGGGGGCACATCGGAGCAAGAGGCTGCTGCGGCGCCCACTTCCACTTGGGCTGCCGCGCCGACTCGGCCCGCCACCTGGGAGAAGTCGCCGCGCGCCCGCAGCGCCGGGCCCGACTGCCGACCGCCGCCCAGTTACAGGCAAGGCGTGCGGCACAAGACGTGGACCTAGACCGACCGCCGCCCCCCGCCCGTGACACGTGCGCCCACGCCACCCCCGCCTACAACGGCTTCCGGAGCTTCGCAGAAGACAGAGCCACCGCTGCTCCGAGCGCTCTGCTGCCGACGCGCCGGCCCGCCCCTGGAGTTCACCGACTTGCGCGACCGCCGCATGGAATGGCCCCCCGAGCGCAGCGACCCCAGAGAGCGCGCGGCACAGGCGACGCCGAGGCGAGGCGCCAGCGCCTCCTGGAAAGCGCAGTGGCGCTGGTCAGGGCAGAAGGCCCAAGCAAGGCGCGGCAGCTGCTTGCCTCGCGCGGGCTGGCACCAGGCACGCCAGAGACCTTAGAAGAACTGCGAGGCCCCGCCTGGCGCCCGCCGAGGCCTGCCGCCGCCTTGCCGCCAGCCGCCCGAGCTTTCCAGCCAGCTTGCCCAGTGGAGCTCGACCGCCGCATTTGGACTGACTGCGTCCGCTCTGCCCCGACATGGTCTTCAGCTCGCTTAGCAGAGTTAGCTTCGAACTGCTCAAGCTGGCCTTGGGCGCAGACGAGGCGCTCGAGCTGCGAGCTGCCGTGGCGGAGCGTTATGCGCGGGCCGAGATCCCGGCAAGCGCGGCCCGCGCTCTGGGCACAGGCCGCCCGGCAGCGCTGCTGAAGGACAACGGCCGCGCGCGAGGCATTGTGGCGGGCGACGCCTTCCGCCAGCTCGTGGGCAAGGTCCTCCCGCGCGCGCCGCGACCGCGCGATCGAGAGGCACTTGTCGCTGCCTGGGGCTTCCGCTCTGGTCCCCTTCGCGATGCTTTCCTACGGCCGGCCGTCTACGCACCTCTGGACAGACGACGCCGGAGTCGCGCACGAGGTTGCGCAGAGGGAAGGAGGAGAGCAAGGCGACCCGCCCATGCCGGCGCTCTACTCCCTAGCGCAGCACGGCGCAATGGAGAGGGCTCGCACGCAGCCGCAGCCGGGCGAGACGCTGATCGACGACGTCTACACTGTCGGAAGAAGATTTGTTTTTTTTGGTTTGTTCCTCCCCCTTCCTTACCCCAAGGCTGCCGCGCCCCCCCGCGGCCAGTGCGGACCCCCCGCGCGCAGGGGCGCGCCCCGAAGGAGCGGGGGGTTTTCGGCCGAAGCCAGGGCAACCCCGAACCTCCCGCCAGCTAGCCGGCCCGCGGGCCTCCCGCTCAGCTGCCCCTAGCGGCCAGCCGCCGCCAGCCGCCGCCAGCCTGCGCCTTGCGCCGCGGCGCCCGGCCCGTCGCCGCCAGTCGCCGGCCGGCCGCTCGCGATCGCAGCGCCGCGCCGCCGGGCCTGCCGCCGCCAGCCGGTGCCGCCGCCGCCGCCCTCGGGGCGGCGCTGGCGGCGCAGCTTTCGGCCTCCGCGCGGCCGCGCCGCCGCCGGCCGCCGCGCTTCGCCGCGGCGCCTGGCCCGTCGCCGCCTGCCGCAGGTCGGCCGCAGGCCGCCGCGCCTCGCCGCCGGGCCTGCCGCCGCTGGTCGCCGCGCCCGCCGCCGCAGGTCGCTGTGCAGAGGGTCGTGGCTTAGGAGGGCTGAATCCTCCCCCCTCTGCCCGTGAACGAACCTGCGGCGGCGCCGCGCCTCGCGGCGGTGCGTTCGCCCTCCGCGCCGCCGCGCTGCCTCGGGCCAGCTCCAGCGTCTCCTCCGCCGCCTCCGCCGCCGCCGCCTCCTCCTCCTCCTCTGTGCTGATGGCTGCTGTCGTGGTGCTGCTAGCCGCCGTGCTGCCCCTGGTCCTGGCGGCGCTGGTCGCCGCGGCGGTGCTGGTCGACGACGTCTACATTGTCGGAAGAAGAAAGAACACGACACAGCAGCTTTCCACGAGGTCACCGCTGCCATGCGGGAGTGGGCGGGCATCGAAGCGAGCCCGGGCAAGCGCCGCATGTGGAACCGTGGCGGCCTCGAACCGGCGGGGCACCTAGCGCTGGGCACAGACGTCTGGGTGGGAGGCGCCAGCGCGCCAGAGGAGTGCCGCGGCCTCAAGGTAGCCAGGCTACCCGAGGAGCAGGCAAGAAGAGGAACGCCGTTTCTTACAGGACGCCCCCTGACTGCCAGACCTTCAGCGCGCCTGGGTGCTCCTGCTGTATTGCGCGGCGCCGGGGTGCAACCTTTTTTTTTCCGCTCCTCTCCCAGTCCCAGCCCCAGTCCCTGGCCGAGTCCGCAGCGAAAGGGGCCGCTGCACCCGGCTCCCTCCGGCTGGCCTCCTGGCTGGGCTGCCGACGCCCGCGGGCGCCTTAGGCGGCCCGACGGGCCCGCCGGCCACCGCGCGGTCTTCGCGCCGCCAGCCGCCGCCGCCCGCCGCCCGCCCGGCCGAGCCGCCCTGCGCGCCTCGGCCTCCGGAGGCTTCCGGCGGCGTCCGGAAGCCGCGGAAGCTCTCGAGGCCCTGGCCCGGTCGGCGCCCCTCCGCGCCCAGGCAAGGCCGTCCGCGAAGGCCGCCAGAGCTGCCCCGGCCCGGCGGCCCACGGCCGCAGCGCCCGCCGGCCCTGCCCACCTGCCGTGCGAGCGCCTGCCTGCCCAATCCCAGCTCTGTAACCCACGACGTCGGGTCCCAGCTTCGCGTCCAGCATCGCGCTGAGCAGCACGAATGCCTGTTGCCGCTGCCCCCTCTTCTCGCCCGCGCTGATCCCAGCATTGTAGCCGATGACACTTGGCGCCACCTTCGCCTCCCACATCTCGCTGAGCAGCGGGAGAGCCCGCTGCCACTGCTCGCCGTTCGCGCGCTCGCCGATCCCAGAGTTGTAGCTGATGGCATCTGGCTCCAACCTCACTTCCCGAATCTCGCAGAGCAGCGATAGAGCCCGTTGCCACTGCTCGCCTTTCGTGCACGCGCTGATCCCAGAGCTGTAGCTGATGACACTTGGCTCCACCTTCGCCTCCCGCATCTCGCTGAGCAGTGGGTGAGCTTGCTGCCGCTGCTCGCCGTTTGTACACGCGCTGATCCCAGGGCTGATCCCAGAGTTGTAGCTGATGGCATCTGGCTCCAACCTCACTTCCCACATCTCGCAGAGCAGCGATAGAGCCCGCTGCCACTGCTCGCCTTCGCGCACGCGCTGATCCCAGAGCTGTAGCTGATGACATTCGGCTCCGATCTCACTTCCCACATCCTGCTGAGCAGTGATAGAGCCCGCTGCCACTGCTCGTCTTTCGCGCAGGTGCTGATCCCAGAGCTATAGCTGATGGCATCTGGCTCCACCTTCGCCTCCCGCATCTCGCTGGGCAGTGGGAGAGCCCGCTGCCACTGCTCGCCTCTCGCGCATGCGCTGATCCCAGAGCTGTAGCTGATGACACTTGGCTCCACCTTCGCCTCCCACATCTCGCTGAGCAGTGGGAGAGCCTGCTGCCACTGCTCGCCGTTCGCGCACGCGCTGATCCCAGAGTTGTAGCTGATGGCATCTGGCTCCACCTTCGCCTCCCGCATCTCGCTGGGCAGTGAGAGAGCCCGCTGCCACTGCTCGCCTCTCGCGCACGCGCTGATCCCAGCTGTAGCTGATGACATTCGGCTCCGATCTCACTTCCCACATCCCGCTGAGCAGTGATAGAGCCCGCTGCCACTGCTCGTCTTTCGCGCGCGCGCTGATCCCAGAGCTTTAGCTGATGGCATCTGGCTCCACCTTCGCCTCCCACATCTCGCAGGGCAGTGGGAGAGCCCGCTGCCACTGCTCGCCTCTCGCGCATGCGCTGATCCCAGAGCTGTAGCTGATGACACTTGGCTCCACCTTCGCCTCCCGCTTCTCGCTGAGCAGCGGGAGAGCCTGCTGCCACGGCTCGCCGTTCGCACACGCGCTGATCCCAGAGTTGTAGCTGATGGCATCTGGCTCCAACCTCACTTCCCACATCTCGCAGAGCAGCGATAGAGCCCGCTGCCACTGCTCGCCTTTCGTGCACGCGCTGATCCCAGAGCTATAGCTGATGACACTTGGCTCCACTTTCGCCTCCCAAATCTCGCAGAGCAGCGATTGAGCCCGCTGCCAGTGCTCGCCGTTCGTACACGCGCTGATCCCAGGGCTGATCCCAGAGTTGTAGCTGATGGCATCTGGCTCCAACCTCACTTCCCACATCTCGCAGAGCAGCGAGAGAGCCTGCTGCCACTGCTCGCCTTTCGCGCACGCGCTGATCCCAGAGCTGTAGCTGATGACGCTTGGCTCCACCTTCGCGTCCCACATCGCGCTGAGCAGTGGGAGAGCCTGCTGCCGCTGCTCGCCGTTCGCACACGCGCTGATCCCAGGGCTGTATCTGATGTCATTCGGCTCCAACCTCACTTCCCACATCCCGCTGAGCAGTGATAGAGCCCGCTGCCACTGCTCATCTGTCGCGCAGGTGCTGATCCCAGAGCTATAGCTGATGTCACTTGGCTCCACCTTCGCCTCCCGCATCTCGCTGGGTAGTGAGAGAGCCCGCTGCCACTGCTCGCCTCTCGCGCATGCGCTGATCCCAGAGCTGTAGCTGATGACGCTTGGCTCCACCATCACCTCCCATCTTCCTCCTCCTCCTCCTCCACGCCCTGACTCCCTGGCTCACTGCCACTGCCCACTGACGTCGAGCGCGATTATCTTCGCCTCCTTCTCCTCCTCGACCTGGTCCTGCTCGTCCGCTGCCTTCTCCTCCTCTTCTATCTCGTCCTCTGCCGCCTCGCTCTCCTCCCTGGCTCGCCGCCACTGCCGCTGCCCATGTTTCGCACGCGCGCTGGCCCCAGCGATGCAACTGATGACGTTGGGCCCCAGTTTGGGAATCAGCATCGCCATAGCCTGCTGCCACTGCTCCCTTGTCTCGCAGGCGCGGCTGGGTCTGGACTCCAGGCGGGGGTGGGGCGGGCGGGGGGCGGAGGACGAGGGGGCGAGGGGCGCGAGCCGGGCCCGAACGGCGAGGGGCGAACGACGCGGGGGCAGGGGGCGAACGAGACGGGACCGAGACGAGGGGACAGAGGCCGAGGGAAAGGCGAGGGGAAGGGGCGGTGGGCGTCGTCGGTGCGCGTCGTCGTGCAGGTGCGCGTCGTTGCTGCTGGTCGTTGCAGATGGTGCCCGTCGTTGCTGGCAGTCGTGTTGCCGGTCGGAATTGGTGCTGGTCGCAGTCGTGGTGGTGCTGCTGCTGGTCGTGGTCGTGTTGGTGGTGCTGCTGCTGGTTGCGGTCGTGGTAGTGCTGCTGCTGGTCGCAGTCGTGGTGCTGCGAGTCGTAATCGTGGTGGTGTTGGTGGTCGCAGTCGTGGTGGTGCTGGTTGTGCTGGTGGTGCTGGTCTTGGTGGTGGTGCTGCTGCTGCTGGTCGCAGTCGTGGTGGTGCTGCTGCTGGTCGCAGTCGTGGTGTTGCTGGTCGCAGTTTTGGTGCTACTGGTCGCAGTCGTGGTGGTGCTGCGGGTTGCAGTCGTGGTGGTGGTGCTGGTCGTGGTTCTGCGGCTGGTCGCAGTCGTGCCGCTGCTGGTCGCAGTCGTGGAACGGCTGGTCGCAGTCGTGTTGGTGCTGCTGGTCGCGGTTGTGGTGGTGCTGCTTGTCGTGGTGGTGCTAGTCGTAGTAATGGTGGTGCTGCTGGTCGCCGTCGTGGTGCTACTGGTTGTGCTGGTGGTGCTGGTGGTGTTGTTGGTCGTGGTGGTGGAGCTGCTGGTGGCAGTCGTGGTGGTGCTGCTGCTGGTCGTGGTCGTGGTGTTGCTGGTGGCAGTCGTAGTGCTGCTGGTAGCAGTCGTGGTGGTGCTGCTGGTCGCGGTCAAGGTGGTGCTGCTGCTGGACGTGGTGGTGCTGCTGCTGGTCGCAGTGGTGGTGGCGCTGGTTGTAGTCGTGGTGGTGCTGCTGGTCTCTGTGGTGCTGCTGCTGGTTGTGCTGGTGGTGCTGGTCGTGGTGGTGCTGCTGGTCGCTGTCTCGGTGCTGCTGCTCCCGGTTTCGGTCGTGGCGCTGCTGGTCGCAGTCGTGGTGCTGCTGGTCGTGGTCGTGGTGCTGCTGCGGGTCGCGGTCGTGGTGGTGGTACTGCTGGTCGTTGTCGTGGTGGTGGTGCTGCTGGTCGCAGTCGTGGTGCTGCTGGTCGCAGTCGTGGCGCTGTTGGTCACAGTCGTGGGGCTGCTGGTCGCCGTCGTCTTGGTGCTGGTGGTGCTGCTGGTCGTGGTGGTGCTGCTGGTCTCTGTGGTGCTGCTGCTGGTCGCAGTCGTGGTGGTGCTGGTCGTAGTGGTGGTGGTGCTGCTGGTCGCAGTCGTGGTAGTGGTAGTGCTGGTTGTGCTGGTGATGCTGGTCGTGGCGGTGCTGCTGGTCGCAGTCTCGGTGCTGCTGCTCCCGGTTGCAATCGTGGTGCTGTTGGTCGCTGTCGTGGTGCTGCTGGTCGTGGTCGTGGTCGTGGTGGTGCTGCGGGTCGCAGTCGTGGTGGCGGTGCTGCTGGTCGCAGTCGTGGTGGTGCTGCTGCTGGTCGCAGTCGTGGTGCTGCTGGTCGCAGCCGTGGCGCTGCTGGTCGCAGTCGTGGGGCTGCTGGTCGCCGTCGTGGTGGTGCTGGTGGTGCTACTGGTCGTGGTGGTGGTGCTGCTGGTCGTTGTGGTGCTGCTGCTGGTTGCAGTCGTGGTGGTGCTGGTCGTAGTCGTGGTGGTGCTGCTGGTCGCAGTCGTGGTGGTGCTGCTTGTGCTAGTGGTGCTGGTGGTGCTGCTGGTCGTGGTGGTGGTGGTGCTGCTGGTCGTAGTCGTGGTGCTGCTGCTGGTCGCAGTCGTCGTGCTGCTGGTCGCAGTCGTGGTGCTCCTGGTCGTGGTCGTGGTGGTGCTGCGGGTCGCTGTCGTGGTGGTGGTGCTGCTGGTCGCAGTCGTGGTGGTGCTGCTGCTGGTCTGCAGTCGTGGTGCTGCTGGTCGCAGTCGTGGCGCTGCTGGTCGCAGTCGTGGGGCTGCTGGTCGCCGTCGTGGTGGTGCTGGTGGTGCTACTGGTCGTGGTGGTGCTGCTGGTCGTTGGTGGTGCTGCTGCTGGTTGCAGTCGTGGTGGTGCTGGTCGTAGTCGTGGTGGTGCTGCTGGTCGCAGTCGTGGTGGTGCTGCTTGTGCTAGTGGTGCTGGTGGTGCTGCTGGTCGTGGTGGTCGTGGTGCTGCTGGTCGTGGTCGTGGTCGTGGTGGTGCTGCGGGTCGCTGTCGTGGTTGTGGTGCTGCTGGTCGCAGTCGTGGTGGTGCTGCTTCTGGTCGCAGTCGTGCTGCTGCTGGTCGCAGTCGTGGTGCTGCTGGTCGCGGTCGTGGGGCTGCTGGTCGCCGTCGTGGTGGTGCTGGTGGTGCTGCTGGTCGTGGTGGTGGTGCTGCTGGTCGTCGTGGTGCTGCTGCTGGTTGCAGTCGTGGCGGTGCTGGTCGTAGTCGTGGTGGTGCTGCTGGTCGCCGTCGTGGTGGTGCTGCTTGTGCTAGTGGTGCTGGTGGTGCTGCTGGTCGTGGTGGTGGTGGTGCTGCTGGTCGTAGTCGTGGTGGTGCTGCTGCTGGTCGCAGTCGTGCTGCTGGTCGCAGTCGTGGTGCTGAACGTTGTCGTGGTGGTGCTGGTCGTAGTGGTGGTGGTGCTGCTGGTCGCAGTCGTGGTAGTGCTGGTTGTGCTGGTGGTGCTGGTCGTGGTGGGGCTGCTGGTCACTGTCTCGGTGCTGCTGCTCCCGGTTGCAGTCGTGGTGTTGGTGGTCGCTGTCGTGGTGCTGCTGGTTGGTCGTGGTCGTGGTCGTGGTGGTGCTGCGGGTCGCAGTCGTGGTGGTGGTGCTGCTGGTCGCCGTCGTGGTGGTGCTGCTGCTGGTCGCAGTTGTGGTGCTGCTGGTCGCAGTCGCGGCGCTGCTGGTCGCAGTCGTGGGGCTGCTGGTCGCCGTCGTGGTGGTGCTGGTGGTGCTACTGGTCGTGGTGGTGGTGCTGCTGGTCGTTGTGGTGCTGCTGCTGGTTGCAGTCGTGGTGGTGCTGGTCGTAATCGTGGTGGTGCTGCTGGTCGCAGTCGTGGTGGTGCTGCTTGTGCTGGTGGTGCTGGTGGTGCTGCTGGTCGTGGTGGTGGTGGTGCTGCTGGTGGTCGCAGTCGTGGTGCTGCTGGTCGCAGTCGTGGTGCTCCTGGTCGTGGTCGTGGTGGTGCTGCGGGTCGCTCTCGTGGTGGTGGTGTTGGTGGTGGTTCTGCTGCGGGTCGCAGTCGAAGCGGTGGTGCTGCTGGTCGCCGTTGTGGTGGTGGTGGTACTGCTGGTCTCCTCGTGGTGCCCGCTGCCGCGTCGGGGGTGCTCCCGGCGCTCGTCGGAGCCCCCCGGGGAGGCCGTGCTGGCCGCGGTGCCAAGCATCAGGGGCGCGCTGGCAGGCGGCTAGCGGGTGGGCCAGCGGAGTCCGCGAGCAGCACTTCGGCCAGGTCTGGGTCGTCCTCCCCGGCGGCCCCCCCCAGGGCTAGGTAGCCGTCGCCCGTCAGGGTGGCCATGAGCGCGTCCTGGGCCGCGACGCTCAGGAACCCCCACAAGCGGCTGGTGTACGCGAGCTCCGCAGAGCGGCGGAGGAGGGCCGGGGCGGCCCGCGCCTTCTGCTTGGCAAGCAAGCGTACCAGCTGGAGGGAGTCGCGGCCCCACCTGCCTCCGACCTCGCAGGAGAAGACCATGAGGCGGCCTGAATGGCTGGTCGTGAGTTCGTGGTACCTGCGTCGTTTGCGCCTTTCGGCCACAAGTAGCGCGGCGCCGTCGGTGTCGAAGGTGCGCGGCCGGCGGAGGGGGGACACCATGGTGCTGTCGCAGAACAGCGGAACGCCGTTCGGCGAGATGCCGTAGACGACTAGATCTAATTGTCTGCGGTCCAGCGGGTTGTGGACAACGGCGTTAGTGCCCCGCAGCAGCTGTTAAGGGGACAACTCTCCCTCCTGCTTCTCTGGCGACCCTCGCCCAAGCTCGTTCGAGCGGTTTCGCGCGTCTGGCGAGAAGCCCGGCGCGTGGGAACGCGGCTAGGTGGTCTCCCAGCGCGCCCAGCCGGGCCCGGCAGCCTGGGCGGCCGGCTGCCCCGCACGCGTGCGGGAGGAGCGGCAGCGGGAGCCTGAAGCGCCGGCGCAAGGCTGCCAGGAACCGCGCGGGCTTGAACTCGCGCCCCTCGGCGGTGGGTAAAGTGTGAAGCCAGTGAACGGCCCTCGGTCCTGAGCCTGACCTTAGCATGGCCTGGTTGGCCCTGGTGAGGCTGGGCATGAACACGTTGTCCCTGTAGTGGGTGTTGCGTGCGGAACAAGCGTGGAACTGCCAGCCGTGCTGCCGCTCCCCCGGTTCGGCGGCCTCCGAGCGCGGCGGCGCTTCTGGGCGCAGCCCCTGGAGCAGGTCGGCCCAGGAAGGTCTCCGGAAGCCTTCGGATTCGAGCAGCTGTGCGGCCGCGGCGGCTGCGGCAAGGTTGCCCCTACGGCCGGGCCTGGCGCCGTCGAGGAGGTCCCTGATCGCTGCAGCTTCAACAGGGCGCCGTTGGTGGAGCATGTGTAGGGCGTCTGCCCAAGCGCCCCAGTAGGCCGCTGGGGACGTGCGCGCGGC